TCAAAGTTTTTCCTTATTGTGGCTGACTCACCTCATTCTTAGCAATTTTTGACCGCGAGGAAAGTAAAATTTCACTGTGGAAAATATACCTGTTGATAGAGAACTAAATTCTCTACAAGATGAGGTATAGCTTACTTTCGGGCAATGGATAGTTTCTTCGAAAACAAGAAATTTTTCCTTATTTTGGGTGACTCACCTCATTGTTCCCAATTTTTGACCCGGATGAAAATGCACTTTGAATATAAGGAATATACCTGTTGATATAGACTTGAATTCTCTACAAGATGAACTATGGCTCACTTTCGGGCAATGCATAGTTTTTTCCCGAGAAAAAGAAATCTTTGAAAATATTTTCCTGATTTTGGGTGACTCACACCTGAATCTTGAGAATGTTTGACTCCGATATAAATGGAATTTGAATGTAACGAATACATCTGTTGATAGAGAATTAAATTCTCTACCAAATGTACTATTGCTCACCTTCGGGCAATCGATAGTTTTTTTCGAAAAAAAGAATTTTTTCTTAAATTTTTCCTTATTTTGGGTGACTTACCTCGTTCTTCGCAATTTTTGACCCGAATGAAAATGCAATTTGAATATAAGGAATATACCTGTTGATATAGACTTCAATTCTCTACAAGATCAGCTACAGCTTGTCTCCGGGCAATGGATAGCTTTATCAAAAACATATTTCTTTTCAAATATGTTTCCTTCTTTGTGAAAGTCACATATTATTTTTAAGGATTGCTCGCCCAGAAGAAAATAAAATTTGAATATTACGAACACACCACCTCATAGACAATTCAATTCTCTACAACATAAGCTGGAGCTGCTCTTCGGGCAATGGATACTTTTTTAATAAAATAACTTTTTCGAATATTTCTGGTCTTTTTTGGGGTGGCTTAAATCATTCTCCAGACGTTTTCACCCAAATGAACACGAAGTGTGAATATAAGTAATACGTATGTTGACACACCATTGAATTCACTAGAATGTGAACTACAGATGAAACACGGGCAATAGATAGATTTCTCGACAGAAACTTTTTTTCAATTTTTTTTTTCATTTTTCGAGTGACTCATGTTATTTTTAAGGATCTTTGGCGACGGTAAAAATGACATTTGAATATAACGAACACACCTGCTGATAGAAAACGTACTTCTCTACAAGATGAGCTACAGCTTACGCCCGGAAAATAGATAGTTTTTTTCAAAAAAATACATTCCTTCGAATTTTTTTCCTTTTTTCAGGTGAGTCACATCAGTCTTTGGAATTTTTGACCAACATGGAAATCGAATCTTTCTATGAGCGATACCGATATTGATAGAGAATTGAACTCTCTACAAGATGAGCTACAGCTTGTCTCCAGGTCATCGATAGTTTGTTCACAAAAATAGTTTTTTTCAAATTATTTTGCTTTTTTTGGGGTGAGTGATATAATTTTTGGGATTTTTGACCAAGATAGAAATAGAATCTCTCTATAAGGGATACAGATATTCATAGAGAATTTAATTCTCTACACGAGGAGCTACAGCTTGTCTCCGGGCAATGGATAGTTTTTTCACAAAAATAGCTTTTTTTAATTTTTTTACTTTTTCTTGGGTGAGTCATACCATTTTTTGGAATTTTTAACCAAGATCGAAATAGATTCTCTCTATAAAGCATGCAAATACTGATAGAGAATGAAGTCTCTACAAGATCGGTTAGAGCTGACTTCCGGGCAATGGATAGCTTTTTCACACAAATTATTTTTTCAAATTTTGTTCGATTTTTCGGGGGACGTATCTTGGTTTTTTGGAATTTTTGAGGAAGATGGAAATGGATTCTCTCTATACGAGATACATATGTTGATAGGGAATTGAATTCTCTACAAGATGGGCTAGAGCCGAACTCCGAGAAATGGATAGTTTTTTCATCCAAATGATTTTTCTCAAATTTGTTTTCATTTTTCGGGGGACGTATCTTGGTTTCTTCGAATTTTTCAGCAAGATGGAAATGAATTCTTTGTATAAAGAGATACCGATGTTGATAGAGAATTGAATTCTCTACAAGATGGGATAGAGCTGATTTCCGGGAAATGGATAGCTTTTTTCACAGAAATTGTTTTTTTCAATTTTTTTTCAATTTCTTCGGGTGGCGAACCTCATTTTTTGGACTCTTCAAGCAAGATGGAAATGGAGTCTCTCTACAATAGATACAGATATTGTGAGAGAATTCGATTCTCTACAAGATGAACTAGAGCTCATGTGCGGGCAATGGATAGATTTTACACAAAAATTGTTTTTTTTTTCGAATTTTTCGGGTGACGCATATTATTTTTTGGATTTTTTAAGCGAGACGAAAATCGATCCTCTGTATGAACGATACACATGTTGATAGAGAATTCAATTCTCTATAAGATGAGCTAGAGCTGATGTCCGGGTAATGGATACGTTTTTTGAAAAATTATTTTTTTATGAAATTTTCTTCGATTCTTGGGGTGACGGATTTTATTTTTTTGTTTTTTTCGCCAAGATGGAAATGGATTCTCTCTATAAGAGATACAGATATTGATGGACAATTCAATTATCCACAAGATGAGCTAGAGCTGATGTCCGGACAATGAATAGTTCTTCTACAAAAATTATTTTTTTACGTTTGTTTTGATTTTTGGGGTGGCGCATCTCTGTTTTTCGAGTTTTTGACAAAGATGGAAATCAATTCTCTCCATAGCAGATACAGCTATTGGTAGAGAATTCAATTCTCTACAAGATGAGCGAGAGCTAATGTCCGGACAATGGATAGTGTTGTTACAAAAATTATTTTTTTGAAATTGCTTTGGATTTTTGGAGTGATGGATTTTATTTTATGGATTTTTTCACCAAGATGGAAATCGATTCTCTTTATTAGCGATACGCATATTGATAGAGAATTCAATTCGCTACAAGATGAGCTATATCTGATGCTCGGGCAATGGATGGTTTCTTCAAAAACATTTTTTTTTCATTTTTGTTTGGACACTAACCTAATTTTTAAGCATTTTTGACCTCGATGAAAATGGAATTTGGATATCAAGACTGCAGCTGTTGTTAGAGAATTGAATTCTCTACAAGATGAGCTATAGCTGATTTTCGGGCAATCGATGGTTTATTCACAAAAATCACTTTTTTCAATTTTTTTTTCTTTTTTGGGTGACTCATCTTATTCCGGCGGTTTCTTGGCCCCGATGAAAATGAAATTTCAATATGTGCAATACAGCTGTTGATAGACAATTCAATTCTCTACAAGATGAGCTGGAGCTGATCTTCGGGCCATGGATGGTTTTTTGAAAAATATTATTTTTCTCAAATTTTTGTTTTTTTGATGCGGTGACCGATCTTATTCTTGAGAAATTTTTACCAAGATGAAAATGAATTTTGAATATGAATGATACACGGTTTAATACAGAATTGAATTCTCTACAAGGTGATCTAAAGCTGATCTTGGGGCAATGGATAGACTTTTTGAAAAAATGATATTTTTTAAATTTTTGTTGTTTTCGGGGTTACTCATCTGATCTTTTCGAATTTTTGACCAAGATCAAAATGAACTTTGCAGATGAGTGATACAAGTCCTGATAGACAATTGAAATCTTCACAACATGAGTTAAAGCTGATCTTCGGGAAATGGATAGTTTTTTTAAACAAAATTGTGTTTTTAAAATTTTTGTTGTTTTTTGGGGTGATGGATCTTATCTTTGAGAATTTTTGGCTAACATGAAAATGAATTTTGAATAGAAGCGAAACAGGTATTGATAGAGGATTGAATTCTCTACAAAATGAGCTCTAGCTCACTTTCGGGCAATGGATAGTTTCTTCTGAAAAAAAGAATTTTTTAAAAGTTTTTCCTGAATTTGGGTGACTCACCCCAATCTTAGGAACTTTTTACTCCGATGAAAATGGAATTTCACTATAAAGAATATACCTCTTCATAGAGAATTAAATTCTCTATAATATGAACTAAGGCTTACTTTCGGGCAATGCAAAGTTTTATCAGAAAAATACTTTTTGCAAATATTTTTCCTTTTTTGGGTGACCCAACTTATTCTTAAGGATTTTTCACCAAGATCAAAATGGAATTTGGATATAATGAATACAGCAGCTGATAGAGAAGTGAATTCCCTACAAGATAAATTATAGCTGATTTTCGGGCAATGGATAGTTTTTTCAAAAGAGTAATTTTATTCAATTTTTTCTTGTTTTTGTCCGGTGATAAATTTCTTTTTTAGAAATTGTGACCTAAATGAAAGTGAATTTTCAACATCAATGATACAGATATTGATAGAGAATTGAATTCTCTACAAGAGGAGCTAGACCTGATCTCGGGGCAATGGATAGTGTTTACAAAAAAATACTTCTTTTTTTAATTTCTTTTTTTTTGTGGTGAGTCATCTTATCTTTTGGAATTTTTGACCACGATCAAAATGGCTTCTCTCTGTAAGTGTTACGGATATTGATAGAGAATTCAATTTTCTACAAGATGAACTAGACTTTATCTCTGAGCAATGCATAGTTTTTCCAAAACAGTAACTTTTTAAAATTTTTTTCGTCTTTTTGGCGTGAGTCATCCCATGTGTTGGACTTTTTGACCAAGATCAAAATGGCTTTTCATTATACGTAATGTAGCTGTTGATAGAAAATTCAATTCTCTACAAGATGATGTACAGCTTATCTTGGGACAATGGATGGCATCTTCAGCAATTTTTTTTTTTCAATTTTTTTTATTTTTTTTTATGAGCCATGTCATAAATGAGGGGGTATGACCCCGATGAAAAGAAAATCTTCATATAAGCTATACATCAAAAGATGCAGAATTTAATTCTCTACAAGATTATGTATAGCTTATCTTCGGGCAATGGATGGTATCCTCAGCAATTAATTTTTTTGAAATTTCTTTTGAATTTTTTTATGATTCATCTCATAATTGACGGGGTATGATATATCATATCCATTATCCTAGTAAAAACAATGATAATTTCGCAACTATATACAGAAAAATAAAACATTTACACCATTTGCACTTTTAAAAATTGGACAAATCCAAATAATATCAGCTCCAAGATTTTTTATGTAATCAAGTCGTTGAATAATACCTATGAAAGAAAAGAACGATTTCTAGATATATTTTTTCTTTTGTTGATAAAAATTTACCTCGTATATCGCCTATTCCATCTCCATTAGAATCTTGAAATGATCGTGGATAAATTTGATATGCTATACATTCTTTCCACCATTTACGTCGAATGTTGGTTGTAGGATAAAATGATGATTTCATTGTTAATTCTGACTTAGAACTAGCTGATGGATTTTCTGTAACTGTAGACATTTTATAGCGCTAAAATAAACAATGAAATAACCTAGAAAATGTTTGCTGGTTAGTCGAAGAAAATAATGGTATGGAAAAAAGCTATAATTGTATTGATATGCGGAAAAATTTTGATATTTGTCATACGTCGAAATGCAAGTGTTATTTTTCCATTCTACCCATCGTTTGTTTTAGTGATCAAATATAAGTAAAAAAGAAGAACGAAAGTTCAAAAATTAGAAAAATACTGCTTATATAAAAATTCACCTCATCTTAATACAAAGATGGATGATTTACTTGTTTGTGATGTACAAGAAATTCACTCAAGTAAGCAAACAAAAGTGAAGACGCGTGGCATGACTAATTATTTTGACAAGAAGTGTCATTCAGCTCTCTCTGCATTAATCCACGACGTTCTTGAAGTCTACTATATCTAGTCTGCTTGTCCATATATATCCTATGCAAATTAGTCCATACAATAGACAAAGAATAGAAAAATAAGACAAAAAGTGGATTCGACCATCCGAACCAACAGTATTCAATGTCTGACAGCTGTCCTTACGACAGACCATGACTTGTCAATAGAATGACGTTAGTTTTAATAGTCAAAATAGTAGAAAGATGCTCGTCCATTTGTTAGGCAATTAAAAACTGGGTGAAGACAAATGAGTTTACTAGGCGTAGGCATCTGCTGTATCCGTCATGTCTAATCTAGTTTTTTGAATGTATCTTTATTACTAATTCAAAGCATTATGACATTTCTTAGCAATTCATTTTCCTCGTACTAAATTGTCTAACTCATTGGTTTCACTGACCAATAATGCAAAGAAGATCATTCTTATTCAGGATTATTCATTGTGGTGAAGGTCATCGTTCGAGCGACTTAAAATATCTTGTTATTAGAAATTATTGCACTGCTCTTACTCGTACTCTTCTCTCGAAACCTCCTATTCAACAACCTGGCAGCTCATCCATATATAACTTTCCATCACTTCAAGCTCAGCAGCCTATTATCAGTCGACTTTACATATAAAATCGGTCCAATATGCAGACACTTCTTATAAAAAATGGAATACGAAGGAGAGAAAGCTCGTGACCCCTTCGAATTCTTCAAAGTGGAAATGCTCGAGCATGACACTGAAAATAAACACTGAATCAATTTTTGTTAAACGAACAACTAGACGTGTGTGAAATCAAGTATCCAGATATATGTATAAACAACTGTTAAGTCATCGGAAGAAAAGCTTGACATCGAAAGTCAAACGATTCAATTTTTTCAAAGCAAGGCAAAAACTATTGAGTCGAAATTTTATGACTACCGACACATCACCACTAGTCTTTTAAGAAATATTCTGAAATTGTTCGTAATCCTTCGTGATTCGTGTGTTCTACCAGTTCCAGACGAGTACTACTGCTTGTTCATTGGCACATACAAAAGTGGAATAATGAATCGAAATCGCGATTGGGTATCTCTTCGAAACGTTCTAATGTATCATCGCCGAAACTAAAATGATACTATTATCATGAATAAAAAAAGAACCTTAGACACTTAATTTAATACTACATGAAAAGATGTACTCCATTTGGTTCTCACTTGTCTTGCTTATTTTGTCCATTTTTTACTTAATTTTTCTGTACAAAATGTGTCGCTCTTTTAGAACGGCTTCAATCAGAAGATTAACGCAGCAATAGAAAGAAAGAAACCAAAGTAGTCTGAATAACTCTCATATAACTACCCAGATTGATTTACAATACGACAATGACTCATAAATAAAGCCAAATCTTTTCAGTTTCATCTACCTAAATGCTTTTTTCTACGAGGTTTGTTTTTTAGAGTTAACTTCGAAGACATTTTTTCTAGAAAGACGACTATGTCAATCGATGAACTTTATCCGATCATTTCACTTTTTGTTATTGGCCACTGGCCACACAAAGAAATGAAATGGCTGTCTTTTGTAGAGAAGTTCCATTATGTCTTGCATTTGAAAAAAATCTCGATATTTCTCCCATTCTGTGAATAAAGACCTTTGGGTTTGATGTCAATCCTATATTTTTATCGAATTCATCGAGACTCAAATGATTTTTTCAGTGTTCCTAGATGACGAAAAATTTTCTATTAGAAGCTCTCGAATGCACTGCTACTTTAGTTTACCAAGAGTGAAATTAGTGTCTTCTACCACCATAATTCTCAATGAAATGTAAGCATTGTAAAAGTAACTCTATTTCGTATGGTTTGTGGTAGGACTATTTCACGTATAAGAGCTACTTTAATCAAGACTATTGATAGCATATGCTGAACATCATCGATCGAAGTTTTCTTGAAAACACCTTCTGATAATTAAAATGTCTCATTTCCATGTTCCATCGATTGTTTTCTTGTTTTTAGCTACTCTTGATATTCAACTTAAAATTTGTCGTTAGTCTAAAAATGTTGCAAGCCAAGCATACTCACGTAATAAGTGATACTGCAATGTGTGAGTTTTGTTTTCTGTGCTCTGAACGAAATTTGCTCTGTATTTATTGTTGTCGAGATTACCTAGGTTTTTTCTCACTTACATTTTTTTGCATCAATTAATGAATCATGAAGTTTTCCTCAGAGGGGGGGGGGGCAGCTTTTTGCATGAATGCGCTGATTAATACACATTTTTCGCTCTTTTAATGGTTTTCTTTTTTTTGCCTTCCTTTGCGTTTCGTATTGTTACGATGAGAAAATACGTACCAATATTTGTATACACGAGTATATGACATTTACATTTCAAAATTTCTTTGTCATGAGTAAACGATACAGTTGGTTTTTGACCTCATATGTGGGCGATTTCACTAGTTCATTCGATTAATACCGGGTTTTTTCACAACTGTGACTCATTCTATTCATCACATGACAACTTTTTCAATCAGAAGAATCGATCGACAGAATTTCATTTTTTTAATTTTATGACAGATGATCATTACTGAGAGCTGTCTCCAAACAGACACAAAAATCAGGTGCAAGGTCATAGCAATTGCCATAATCATGTGTGAAATAAATGACACGTTTTGTTGTTTGTTTGAACGTTGTCAGACAATCCTGAGTAATTAATCTGACAATAGATTTCAAGCTGGTGTGAGAATGACTGTTCGAATGCCAACCTCCTCCTGAACCACAACACCACGCACATACATACCATCAACAAAATCAGAGTGTGACGGTAAAGACGGCAGTCTTCTGTTCATATTACATAAGGACTCTGTCGAGGCGAGCAGCTTTTCACGATAGATATTGCTATCTAACTGGAAACGATTCATACGTCGCCCTTATTCTCGTTTGGTAGAAAGATCAAATATCTTTTAAATATTTCTGAATTACTCAAGTCTTTTAGTCCGTACTAAAGTTGAAGAATAGCCAAGGGGGAAATGACTGATTTAAATCAGCTTAAACTCAAAATGAAATCAGATAAATCATCTTAACTCATTATAATTCACTATAAGTCATTCAAAATCATCTAGTCTGATTCAAAAGAATTGTTTGCAGTCTCAAAAAAGAATCAAGCTTGATGCTTTTGTTTTTTTGATTAATGCTTGGTACTTTTGCAATATAATTATTATCCTACCGACTGTTTGTAAGAAAAGAGAAAAGACGAAGATCCGTCGTTAAAAATAAACGAGAATACGGTTTTTTCGAACGAAAAGTGCTAACAAATATCTCCATTTATGTAGAAATCTACCGAGGTGGCGTGCTCAAGTGGAAAAAGCCAATTTTGACTCCGTTTAGTTTTGAGTTCATTTCTTATAATTCCAAAGGTTTCTAAGTTTTGTTAGATTTCCGTTGACTTTGTTGCTTTGTCTGGCTTATCCGAGAGTTTTTTGCTTAGCTACATTTCTGAATACTTGAGAAGTCAAAACTACAATACAAAAACATCACTTCTCATGGTTCTGTAAATTTTGTGAATTGTACCCGTGTTGCGCAGATTTTTTTTGAGCTTTGTCAGGTGTAAGTGTGCGATCAGAGAAGAATAAAACCCATTCCACATATTCCCACACCCACCCACATCCTTGTTATTTATTATCATCACTAAAAATATGTTCAAATAATTTTTTATATTTTTGTAATGTATAAAATTTTTTGTAAAATAAAAACAAAGAAAAAAGAGCGCGAATATATAATTATTCATAGGACTAAATGGTGTGAACTCAAAACTAGATGAACAAAATGAAGTAATATATAAAACACAATGGCATACATACATAAGTAAACAAACTCAGATCACAAAATAAATATTTGTTTATCTTTCTCAATTGTCATCATTACAATAGAAAGACATTGGTCTAGAGCAAAGCATCAAATTATCATCATATTCAACGTAAAATCATCACACAAACTGACAATACTATTCTTTTAGATGTTTCATTTTTTTTGCTGGGCATAATAAGGGAACAAATAGATGATCTGTGTAAAGAAAACAACGAGAAGAAGAAAAACAATATTTAAATTTTTTATTCTTGTTCGTTGGCTTGTTGTAACATTACTTCTTGTTGATCACGTAAAATTCGTTTTTGAGCTTGTTCACGTGCGCTTGTATAACTAAAATCTTCAACTGTATCATCATATAAAACAGAATAATCAATATCTTTTCCACTTAGATCAGTTGATTCATCTTCGATTTCATTTGTTGATGTTGTTGTTTTTTCATCATCATCCTCTTCATCCGAGCTATCAGCATGACGACCTTTAAAACTTGGTTTTGTTGATACTTGAGATATTGCAGTAGAAAATGATCGACGACGTTGATCAGAAGAACTTGGATCATCTTGTACAACAGGTATTAAATTTTCTTTAAACAATAAAACAAACATATATAACAAAATGTTTTCAAATTATTTCAACTCGTAATTTTCAAGAAAGAATTTCTTTTCTATAGAATATAATAAAAAATCGAAAGTTTCATGCAATCATACTCTTTGTTTTCGATAAACAATAAATGATGCAAAAGTTTTTAGAAAAAACTCGATATTTATATCTCAATAATCAAACATAGTATCAACTTGAATGTTTTCTCATCTGAAAGAACCAAGTCTAGAGAGTATATACAGAAAAAAGAAACTCTACCTTTATTTGTATTTAGCCAATTTATGTTTGATAAGAGCATTCAAATTGACTAATCGCTTTTGAATCAACGCCATCAGCATTATGTAGACTCTAATGAGCTATGAATATTCGAAAAAGAGTTCGGACTCTTAGCTTATTGTTGCAGAGATACTACATTTTCAAGGTGTTTTCTAAGTCAATATCATGACCCGCTTCAGGAACACTGATTTTCGAATTTTCACTCGAAATTTTGCATAGATACACTAGCAAATTGAACGTTCTCATTTCAGGATAGGAGCAAATAAAAAAACTTGAAACTTTCACCATAGATTATTCTCATTAAGATCTGTCTCAGTGCAAAGTTACAAAGTCAAAACTCTAAGATCATTTTTTTCGGTATTCCTCCGGGGGGGACCACGGCATTCAGTTAAGAAATACTGTAAAAATGTGTAGTATCTCCACGGTTGGTAGCAGCTGAGGGATCGAACTTTTTCCAATGTATTCATAGCTCATTAGGTTCTCTATGATGTACATACTCCAGATTCAAGAGTGATGTATTGCTTAAGAAACTTTCCTTGTAAGTGATACATTTTGAAAAAGATATTCGATTTACTATGTAAAACTTCTCTGATTTCAATATTGTTTTGTACTCACAGTCGCAAACTCATTGACCAAATAATTTCGTTGCAAATATATTTTGCACGTTCCTTCATATTCAAAGATTATTATGATAAATCGAAAGTAAAAATTTTAATTATATTAACCTATTCTAATTTTCAGACTTCATTCTCTCGGACAACAAATAAAGTCTATCGACTAAATCTGATATTAGAGTGTTAAAAAAAATGAGTCTCGACATGTATAGAAAGACTTTTTGTTTTATAGAAATCCAAGAATCTAAATTTTTAGAAACATTTATCTTTTCTTTTAATCCACAAAATTGAGCTCGAAACTATTGAACGATATACATTTGATTATTAAAAAGACATTATCATATAATTTGCTTCTTTCAACGAGGAACATGGATGAAGATTATTTTATCTCTTGATATACCGAACTTAAGTCATTAACACAATATTATGAAATCGATAAACATATGGAAAGGATAGAAATCTGGAAAAAAACTGATTATGCACCATAATAATGTTAGACTATGCCAAAGAGAATATTCTGAAAAATCTTTTCGAATTATCTTTCATGAGAGTACGCGATTAAATCATTATTTTATTCATAGAAAATGTCAAAAACAATGTAGCGGGGAATTACAATTCCTAATTGTGTTCTTATAAGAGGAATCGTGTTGACAATATCTATTGACGAAAAGTAAAGTAAAACACTGGTCATTTTGTTTTTGTTCGTGTAACTACTGTAGTAGTTATATTAACATTAGTTTTCAAAGTTTTCTATGCATCGTAGTTATTAATTACTTTCAACACATTCGAATTTATTTAAAAAAACACATGGTAAGTTGTTAGATCTATTAATCGATTTCATGAACATGTGTCACGAGGAAATCTCTTCAATCATTCCCTTTCAACTTGAATAATTTTTATCTATAGATACTACATAGTTTTCTAATAAAAACTATAAAATGGTTCCGGTTCTAATTGATATTTGACTAGGCTATCGAGTTTTTAATATATCTATTCTTTTTGAACTCTAGATATTCGGAAAACTCATATTTTCGAATTTCGATCTAAAATTTTGTGCACAGAGACAACTCAACTAGACTAGCTTTTATAAAGAAATTCACGAGTTTCTAACCAAGTCTATTTTGATATATGAGACTTTCAAAATATAGACCCTTTTTCATAGATAGCGCATTCAACATGAATTTTTTTAGGGCTTCATATCTCGAAGAGACTTTGTTCTGGGCTTCTGCAACATTTTTGTGGAAGCTGGCCTAGTTGAGCTCTCTATATACACAAAATCTCAAGTCAAAATTAAAAAATACAAGTCGTTCAGAAAAGTTGGGACCCTCGGAAAAATAGACATTAAAAATTCGATAGCTTCGTCTTATATCAATATGAACCCAAATCCTTTTTTCATCAGTCAAATAACTTCGGACATTTTCATGAATCAAATTTAATTCAATGATATTTCTTACCAAGATTAAGTACAAGTGATCGTTGTCGTTCTCGTTTCTTATGTATTGGTTCATTATCCAGATCAATTTCTGAACTATCTGCTGGTACGACGTTTTCTTGATCAATTTCTACTGAAGTTGGTTTATTTCTTGTTTGTTGTTTTGATGTTTCTATTTCAGATGATGCTTTTGTTGTTGCCTCTGCTAATGCAGATATAATATCTTTTTCACTTTGTTCTGATTGATATAATGGATTATGAGACATTTGTTCAAGTTTTTGTAAAGCAGCTTTTTGCTGTTTTGTTAATGATTGACTCGTATCATCTTTTTCTTGTGTTCCAATTGACAATGTTGATTGTATATTTTCAGATTGATCAATAGCATGTTTCTTTTTTTGATGACGATGTGGCTCTTTCTTTTTATGATCGATTATATATACACGAATTTCATATGGATGAAATTTAAATGATTTTTCTTCCTAAAACAAAAGAGTTTTCTTTGTTTAGATGAAAGATAACTATAAGCTGTTCGATGATTTTTGACTACAGAAAGGAATTTATGTAAACTTCTAGAGAAAGACTGGCTCTATCAAATAGTATGTGCATTATTAAGTTCTACTGCATACTGTTGATATGTCGATAGAAGGTGTCACGATCATGGTCGCGTGTGATAAAGGTAGTGCCATCTATTGATATATCAACGGTACGCAGTAAAATCTAATACTGCATACATTAATAGAAACGAACTCTTTCTCTACAGACATATACATATTCTGTTATGGGTTCAATTCCTTACATTCATCATTGATGAATAAACTGATTATGAAAAAAGCCAAGAAATAAAAAAATATTATTTTTCTTACCTTATGTTCAGGTATGGGTTCAAGTGAATTTGTTAAAACAAGTTGTGATGATGATAAACCTTGATATAAAGTAAATTGTGCTACACGATCTGTTAAATTTGTTAAAACAAAGGCTCGTTTAGTATCTGATGTACGTGTATAACCAAAGATTTGTTTATGATTTGATAATATTAAATCATATATTCCATATATAAAGATATCATTTTCTTTTCTTAAACGTATAAGACGTTTATAATAATTTAATACAGAATTTTCATCTTTTTCTTGTTGTCCTACATTAATACGTACATAGTTTGGATTAACACCAATCCATGCTTGTTGTGCTTCACTAAAACCAGCATTTAATGAAACATCCCATTGCATTGGTGTACGAGCATTATCACGACCAGTTATATAAATTATCTGCATAAGTTCATTATGATCAATACCTTTAGCTAATTCAAGATTATAAAAATTTCTTGCAGCTACATCAGGATAATCAGTAATAGATGGAAAACGTACATTTGTCATACCAATTTCTTGACCTATACAGAAATAAAATATGAAAATAAAGAATTGTTTTTAATATGAATAAACCTTGATAGATAAATGGTGTTCCCATCATGAGCATATAAACAGTTGCAAATGAAGTAGCACAATCCCTCCAATATTCTTTATCATTACCCCATGTTGATACAATACGTGGCTTATCATGATTTTCAAGAAATACTGCGTTCCAACCAATCTTTTCTAAACTTTTTTGCCATCTAGTCATTATACGTTTAAAGGCCAAAACTAGAAATGTTATTTAAATCATTTTATTGATCAAAAAATATTTTTCAATTTTTTTTTACCGTCAAGTGAACCCAATGTTTTTTCCCATAAATTTGTTGCTTCGAATTGAAAGATCATATTAAATTTTCCTTTCTCTTCATCAACCCAATCAACAGCTTGATCAGCACCAACACCATTTGCTTCACCGACAGTAACAACATCACGATCACCATATGTTTCACGTTTAAATTCAGTTAAAAACTCTTCAATACCTTCAACATTCATATGATAATCAAATGATTAAAGCATATAAAGTTTTCTTTGAGTTTGTGTCAAATGT